ACGTGACAATTTTTTTTAGCAATCAGGCTCGCCCTGGACTTTTTATTCTATGGAAAGTTGCATCAAACTCAAAGTAATAAATTTCGAAAAGTAAATTATAAACACTCACGAGGTTCATTGATGTAGCCTTTCTCCTGAACTTCGACTTTTGTCTGTTTGTGAGATCGTCGAGTCGGCGTTTTCCCTTGAATATAATTAGTGGGCGGGTCTTTTTGCCTTCCGCTGTGACTGTGAGAACGACGGTGAAGCCTCTTTTTTCGGAACTTGTTTTTATATGGATGGCATATCAAATCGCAGCAACGTCTCATCCATATTATAGACATCGCTAAGAGGATAGCCATGTCGCTGTCTCAACTGAATAATGTATCGATGGAATTGTTCGATTTTGTCTTCAAAGTTCGGTGGAAGCTTTTGTCCAATGGAGGTAAGCACGCGAGTTGACAGCGCGTGACGTTTTTTAAATGAATGAAGCCATCCATCTGAAGCTTTGAATGTGCCGTCGGTAGTGATACGTCTTGCCTGCATTTGAAGCTGACGACCAGAGATAGCATTGCCATTTTTTCTATGCCCATCAAACCACTGCATAAAGTTTTCATCCAGACTGATGTTTTTCACCTTACAGCCGACACCTGGTAATCGTTTGGCACGACGCTTACTGGAGTACAGTTGATCTTTTGCCCGAATCCACTGGCGAACTTGTTTCTCGTTGATCCCAAAATGATCAGCCGTTTTTCGGTTGTTTTTGGACTCAAGTGCCATAGATACAACTTTCAATTTGAAAGCAGCATCGTAAGAAGAACGGCGATTAGACATCGTTGTGGAAATAAATAAATAATAAAGTAGCGTTGCGAAAAAAGTTGCGTGAAGCGAATAATGTAGAGCAGTAAGGAAACTAAACTCGAGAATGATTTAGCTGTGTATTGGGGGGTTTATATTAGCTAACTTTACTGTATTGAAAAACGTTTCACCCAATCATGGACAGGAATTTTTTGAACTGATTATCACTCAATCTTGTGTCTCGTTCACTCGTACAAAACATCACACGTCGTACAATAGTGTAAGTATATCGATGTCTGTCACCCATTCACTCTTGTGTTTTAGTCTTCAATCCCAAAACAAGGAAAAAACTTAACACATCATACAATACACTAAGTGTGCCACTCAAAAATGTATTGTTTGTAAACAGGATATGGAACAACCATGGACGGTCAGCACGTGGCAAGACGGGAAACACAACATACAAAAGTTGTTCGCATTTCAAAAATCCGGTGCGGCTTCTATTAATGGGTTTTTCGAGGATCAAATGTTGCAAATTTGGGCTTGATACAAAGTACCTAAAGTCTGGGTGCGGCTTCTAATAGAGTTGTGGCTACAATTACGAATTTTACGGTACATACTTTACACTGCACTTTTATATCACTTCAATTGACAGAAAAAAACCTAGTTCTATGTGTGGTAATGAAGTTTTGTCCATGGATGCCTCCACCCTGTATTTTGAACTGTGCAAAACATTTTTCATTTGCACATGCAAGTGCTTCACGTTCCTCACCTAGATGACACTGGTACCAATCAGCCAATTGGAGAGTGTCATACTTGTCATGTACTGCATTCAAATTTTGTGCAAAACCTTGTATTTCAATGTTGTATACATTGCATAGGACGCACAATGAACATTGTAAGTTACAGTGATTGGCGCATTAAGATGAGTGCAGGCAAAAGACTATTACCTGCTAAACAAAGGGATGTTATAAAAATTGATGCTGATCCTTTTGCCTCCATCATCTGGCCATTGTTAGCTTTCATACTGTGATTATTAATTGTAATCTGTCTTCATTGAGTGTATACGAAGATGTATCAGATGTAAATTGTGCCTTATTAACGATATATTTAGCGATATCACCAAATCATGTAGCTTTTTAGCTACAAAGATGCAGTTTATTGCAGTGTATAAGAGTATATAGCTCATAAAAATTGTGCTGTCTTCAATCACAAAATATTTTTTAGATTCAGCTCTATCAAAGAATTGTGTAGATTTTTGACTCTCGGTGAATCAGCTTATTGCTGCTTTGTTTCGAGAATAAGTGATTTTTTTGTCGTCAAATAATGGGTGGGTCAATGAATACATAAGAGAGCTGTGTGATTGCCTCCAAATAATGTATATGTCCTTGAATTATAATAATCAATCAGAAATGCTGATAAAAGCGCACTGTAATTCAATATTATACCTCCTGCCATGGGTCACATGCATAACTCCCAACAACCATAATCCTTCCAATAATTGGACCAGGCACAAATAGGTATTGCTGGCTGAATTGTTAGAAGAAAAATTTATTTTATGTGTAGTTGAGTTATTAAAATGGGTTTTGTCAGCAGGAAAAACCTCACTCCAGGTAATTTAAAACTGGAAGTGTATTAACAAAAAAAAACATGGAAAGATTCAAAGGTGTTACTAGTTTCAGTTCTCGTCAATAAGACAGATCAAGGTAAATAGACAGGATCTGAATAAGGCTAACTGCTGCCAGGTGATTGAAATGCTAAAGAAAAAAGAGAAATTATCGTTTTAGCAAAAGTCTGATTGTCTAACCAATGGGTTAGTCCAACTAATGAAAGGATTATGGATTGAAGCCTGCTTTGTATTGTGTTGTGGAAAATTGTTCTTAAATTTTTTTTGCTGTCCCAGTTGTAATTATTTTATAGTAATGGCCCTGTGGATGGTTTCAGGTAATTTATAACTGCATATTTATTTGGTATATTTTAGTAGTCTACACTGATTGAATAAAATATTGTAATGGTTAATCTTGAATAATGGATGTTGCTTTTATCATGGAATCATCATTTTCCAAAGCCACCAGGTGTGTTCGTATTGGTGTAGTCTGTATAGTGAAGCCATGGTTATCAATAAAATATCACCCTGTCTCTGATGTGTTCAATCATAGACCATATAAATGATTCAATCAAATATGAGATTTCATGTTGACTGAGCTGTTTGTATGCCTGAGGATCGTCTATTCCCTTGTTTTTAAAAATAGATGCTATGTTGAGGACAAGGGCCCAAGACGCTAGTAACATGCTCGCTGTAGTTATGTTAGTTAGTACTTTAGAACTGCAAATTATTTGCGTTATTTGCAGGAAAAACGATTAGTGCATGAATAAAAATACACAAATATTTTGTTTGCCTGGTGCTATATTTCTTGTCAGTATGTGTGATTTGTGTCGCCTCTGGCATTTTTTTTGATGGTATCAAAGGTTTTCTTCTGTTAAATAAGGTGCTAAAATCATATATATAATAGTGAACAAGCTGCGCAGGATTTGAAGTGTCATTCGTAAAATGCTAATGTGCCACACAGTGTCAGAATGGTGTATTGTATACAAACTTGCCATCATGATTGATGCTACATGTATGATCTTGATGCAGGAAGCATTCCACATTGCATGTATTTTATTCAAAAGCTCTTGTAAATATACGTACATTATATTAGTATCTAACCATATACATAAAAATGTTTGGGTCATTTACAAAATATCAATTTCTGATACTGTAATGTCAAATGACATAGACTGTGCAAAATTGTTACTTTGCACTCTACTCTAAAATCTCTTTGAGCAAAAATTTCTGGTTCTACAATGTAAACAACATACTGTAAAATATTTGCTGAAGGGCTGATTCAGTGAAATAAAATCAAGCAGATATACCTGTTTTGCTATATCTTACATTTAACTCGTCAAAAATCAGTGAAAATATTTAAAAAAAAAAAAGTTTTTTTTCAGCAAAAATTAATTCCAGCTGAAATAACATATTTTTCAATAGTTCATGCCAAATACACATGGCCAAGGATAGACAATGCTTTTTGCAATATTCATATGCAACATACATCAGCATATTACGTTCTTTGAATTGTGTATCACTGCACCTTTACCGTAAAAACTCGATTAATTCGCGGTAGTAAAAATAATTATTTTTTTAAGTGCATGAATTAATAGCGTAAAAACGAAAATTATTGGTTTTTAGTGCTCGAATTAAAAGAGTACTTTTAGATCGATTCAAAAAGGAGCTGTTTTCATAAATTTATTAGTGATTTGTTTTGTTTTCCAATGAACACGGTTACAGAACGTTTTTTTAGTGACTCTGAGACTCGTGGCTAGCGACATTCATGGCGTGTAGTCGGGCAGAGAATACGCACTGCGTCAAGGACCACACACCTTGTTACACTTGAAATGAAACAGTGAAACGGCAAAGGTCAGTCTGTACACAAACAAACAATGAACACGTGGCTACAAAGTAGCACTGCCTTTTTAGCTCCGCTGTTGACTTTGTCGAGCGGAGCTTATCATATGAGTGATTGTCCGTCGTCGTCGTCCGTCGTCGTCGTCCGTGTCAATGTTTTACTTTTTCGACTTCTTCTTGAAAACTACAAGCCTGAATGCTTTGATACTTGGTGTATATGTACCTTGGGTAGACCTCTCTTAGGTTTGTTCATTTCATGTTGATATCTTTAATTCTCTAATTTTGGTGAATATTTTTGTCATTTTTGGTAAAAAGTGATATTTTCGACTTCTTGTTAAAAACCGCAAGTCCAATTGATTTGATACTACATATATAGGTACTACATGTGGACCTCTCTCAGATTTGTTCATTTCGTGATGATATCTTCAATTCTCTAATTTTGGTGAATATTTTTGTCATTTTTGGTAAAAAGTGATATTTTCGACTTCTTGTTAAAAACCGCAAGTCCGATTGCTTTGATATTACATA